GTGCCCATTATGAGGGGCTCCCACCATCCCTGTGCTGAGTCCCCGGGGCTGTACACCTGCTGTGCCCATTATGAGGGGCCCCCACCATCCCTGTGCTGAGTCCCCGGGTCTGTACACCTGCTGTGCCCGTTATGAGGGGCCCCACTATCCCTGTGCTGAGTTCCCGGGTCTGTACACCTGCTGTGCCCATTATGAGGGGCCCCACCATCCCTGTGCTGAGTCCCCGGGTCTGTACACCTGCTGTGCCCATTATGAGGGGCTCCCACCATCCCTGTGCTGAGTCCCCGGGTCTGTACACCTGCTGTGCCCATTATGAGGGGCTCCCACCATCCCTGTGCTGAGTTCCCGGGTCTGTACACCTGCTGTGCCCATTATGAGGGGCCCCCACCATCACTGCTGGATTTTATATCATTTTGGACAATGTAATGGGAATGATAACAATGGAGCATCATTTTGGGTTGTGGCCCTCTAAAGTTTGTCATTGTTTGGGTCTCTTATATTATGTACACTCGGTGATTGATGGTTGTGTGTTTGTCGCGCTGTGATGTCACCGTCGCTTTCCTTTGCTGCAATAACATAATTGTCTTCTCTGTTTTTTTCCAGATGAACGGGACCGAGTGCAGAAGAAAACCTTCACCAAATGGGTGAACAAACATCTCATCAAGGTGAGTGCGAGACCGGGGGTCAAACCGGGACCGGTCTGTCAGGAAAAAGGGGCGGGGAGATGTTGGGGGATCTGCAGGCCCTTGCTGACTAGACATCAGCTCCTCACCCTCCGCGCTCCTCACCCTCCGCGCTCCTCACCCTCCGCTCCTCACCCTCCGCGCTCCCCACTGTCTGCAATCACACCGGACTCCATACACCCCGCGATCCTTACTCGCACCCCTCACCCTCCACGCTCCCCGCACTCCACGCTCCTCACCCTCTGCGCTGCCCACTGTCTGCAATCACATTGAACTCCATACACCCCGCGCTCCTCACCCTCTGCGCTCCTCACCCTCTGCGCTCCCCACTGTCTGCAATCACACCGAACTCCATACACCCCACACTCTGCGCTCCCCTCTATCTGCAATCACACCGGACTCCATACACCCCGCGATCCTCACGCTACGCGTTACCCGCTCTCCGCACCCCTCACCCTCCCCGCACTCCACGCTCCTCACCCTCTGCACTCCCCACGGTCTGTAATCACACCAGACTCCATACACCCCGCGCTCCTCACCCTCCACGCTCCTCACCCTCTGCACTCTCCGCGGTCTGTAATCATACCGGACTTCATACACCCCGCACTCCTCACCCTGCGCGTTCCCTGCACTCTACGCTCCTCACCCTCTGCGCTCCCCACTGTCTGTAATCACACTGGACTCCATACACCCCGCGCTCCCCACACTTTGTACTCCCCGCGCCCCTCTCACCCCTGCGCCCCGAGCGCCTCACCCCTTCCATGCGTTCCTCGCACTCCCCCCCAGTCTCCTGCATCGCCCAGAAGTACTTTTATGATGGAGAGATCCTGGCTCTGCCTACAGTTGTCACCACGTGGGGCCGATCTGTGTGGTTTTTTTTAATGTACAGATCTGTACATTGGGGTCAAACCAGGACCTGTCTGTTAGGAAAAAGGGGCGGGGAGATGTTGGGGGATCTGCAGGCCCTTGCTGACTAGACATCAGCCGTGTTGTCCACCATTGCCATAGCAACCTTCTTACTGTTCCCAACCACACAGGAAATGATGTGCCGTCATCGTGCCAGTTGTTTCTCGCAGTGGCAGCGTATCCAGGCAACGCAGACATGTCAGTTCCCATGTGGCATTGCCCACAAACCACAAGTTAGGGCCGGGGGACCTCCGGGGCCCGATACTTATCATTAGAGAGCCGCTTTCCGAGAAGAGCGCGGCCTATTCATACAGAGCATCCGGCCCGGAGACTTACCCTGAATCTGTCTTTATCTCAGCCTCGGGTTTGGGGAATTTCTGGAAGTTTTGGAGACTCATTTCCAAAAGGACGACACACAAAATTCTACAAAACCCCCAGGCCTGGTACACGGCGAGTCTGTTGTCTGTGTTATCGGCGGCGGTATTTGCTCTCGGCGGATAAAGCCGCTTCCGATAAGCACATGATCTGTTTACATCTGTTTATTTGCATTGTTGGCAGCGGCTGGTTTCATATTCAGGATTATATTTCATGCAGAATCGATGCACCTGCACCGAGTATAAAGAACCGCCGGATGGACATTGTTACACGTTGACTCATCCGCACAATGCTGGTATTCCAGTTTTGGGGGGATTTACCGCCACCGTCTGCCACGCCCACGTCTTTATTATTCGCATTTATTAAGTCCGCATGAATAAAATCCTGATATGTGCCAATATACAGCAGCTGCACCCAGGAAAGCCCCGCCCCCTTTATCATTAAAAAGCCGTTCCTGAGCTCCAATCAGTGACTTTGCCCAGGCTGAGATGATGTAATCAGTCTGCTGCAGGCAGGGGGAAGCATTTCCTCATTCCCCCCCCCCCCCCCCCCCCTACCGCGTGCTCCCTGCCCCCCCCCCCCCCC